AAAATGACTAGGCCTTATACCAAATAAAACAACAATGAATAATATCATGATGGTTAAAAAACTACTACTGATATTAATAAGATAACATAGAGACAATACAAAACAAATAACACACAAGTATACAGATAAGGAAGATAAAATGGAATGGATTTTTAAGTACAATTATTCAAAAAAACAATATTTTTTTTTCTATCTAGTAAAATAGAAGACATTATTTTATTAATTTAAACCTGTTCATTTGTTTTGTTGATATGAATAAAAACAGTTGATCCACTTATAAAATATAATAGCATAAACTCCATTCAAAACATTTTTTTCTATATATTTTAGTAAATATATATACCTTTACATACATATATAGCATAAAACCTCATTTAAAACTTTTGTGTCTATATGTTTTAGTAAGTATATATACCTGTGTACATACAAATATAATATAAATAAAAATAAGCACAGAAAATCTATGTAGTAAAAATCTAAAAAATATAGCTGACTTATCAGACATCACTTTAAATGCTGAACATTTTGCAATTTAATAAAATAATTAATGTATAATAGTGACTATTTTGATGCCAAAAAATTCATGTGATACTTTGACCTTTACCATTTACTCAGTAGTGGTATTTCTTATAATAAATGTGTTTTAGTGCAACTGTGTGTATTGTGTGTAGTATTTTTTTAACTTATAAATTTCATTTTGCACATGCAGCAATATAAATTCATACTTCATGGCACGCTGGCACTTAGATCATCAGTTTTCTCTCCAATTCGCATGAGACGGTTATGTTCCTGTAAAGATTTAAAGAAAATAATCACTATTTTAATAAATTAGTTTTTGACTGAACTCTTCAAAACTCTTTTGACCCCTTAATATAGTAACAAAACCTAGGACATGGATTTGTTTAGGCAAAGTACATTTTCTGTTTTTTTTTTAAGTTTCACATTTTGTGATTTTAATTGAAATGTTTATATATAACTGTAAACATTTTTTTTTTATAGAATTCTATTTAAATAGGGTAATGTAATAGATGAACAGATGTGCAATTATACATAAAAATAAGAGATGATGGGTACACTGGCATTTAAAAGTTAACATCTTACTATCGATACCTGTTGCTTTACGTGGTTGCATTTAAAAAAATACATTTATCTTCAAATTCGTAAAATTTACGCTAACAATTTTTCCTATAGTTTTCATTTATGGCAGAACCAGCCAATACACTGGCATTACTCATATAGAGAGTGGTGCTGATTATGATGAAGTTAATAATAAAATCACGATGCTAACAATTTATGTCATACTGATTACTGATACTCATGATTATGATAATATATAATGATAATTATGATTATAGTAAGGACAACGATGATTATACAGTAATATGATAATAATGGCAATGATGATCATCCATTAATATTATAATAATAATAATAATAACAATAATAATAATAATAATAATAATAGCAATGATGATAATAATATAATAATGACAATGATGAATATAATACCGTAAAACCATGAATTAAAGCCCTGTGCTTTTTCTTTTCTTGCGAACTTTGGATGCGCTTCTTTTCAAGATGGGCTTCTTTTCGAGGCTACTTTTGCAAATAAAAAGAGGGGGGGGGGCCTTCTTTTCAAAATGAATGCTGTAAATTTTGGGAAGTAGTACTATAAAACAATAAATACAGCTGCTGCAACATCAATCGGTATCATGGAGTGTATTAATTGGCATTAAACCACCTAAAATACTGTATATAAACCAGCGTGTTTTAATTTATTTTGTTTCTTTGAAATTTATGTACAGTGTATGTACTGTACTATCTTGAAAAGAAGCATGTGCTATCTTGAAAAGAAGCCCAAAAATGGGCCTCTTTTTGAGATGGGCTTCTTTTCGAGGCTAATTTTGCAAACTAAAGAGGGGGCTTCAATTAGAGATGGGCTTTTCGAGATTAAGCCCACTGGGCTTCAATTTGGGGTTTTACGGTATGGTATCAATGAAAAGTGTTTCTGTTGTATAATTGAGAAATCGTAAACATGTGACAGAACTTACTCTTGCGGTTTCACTTAGTACATACTGATCCTCCCTCATTTTGATCCTGTGCTGCTGTAGGGTTAGGTAGTTTTCTTCTCTGTTAACATGGGCCTGCAAGCAAGAATGATCAAACTATGACACTAATTGTGCTTAGTTCTAAGCCCTCCAGTAAGAATTGTATTCAATTATCATGAAACGGCATTTATCAGAACCAACCATTGGTGGGAGTGTGTGGAACTCCCAAAGAATCTACATTTTTCAC